TTTTTCATCTGTAAAGCACCCTGAGGGATTAAAAAAGTTGCCATGTTTTTTTTTTTTTTAATTGGATTTCCTTCAAAATAGTGTAATGACTTTCCTCTGAGAAGCTGCACATCTCCCGCCAGAGATAGTGGAAAAGTCTAAGGAAGATTACATCTCCCAGGAGGGAACATATCTAGATGTTGCTGTACAGAAAGGACATCCAGTTACAGAAAGAACAAAACCACTAAGAACTGTTAGAGAAGGAATAAAATTTCATCTCACATCCTCTCAGATTGTTAAAATCTTGTGAAAAATGGCTTGGGTTTGTTTGGAAAGTGATAATATGCATGACCTGAATTTATGTAGTCTATTACCTTAGGTTTTACTGAGTTTAGCTGTTGGATGTAGTTGCTGCTTTCATGCAGATAATCTGTTTTCACAATGTTCTTTCATGAAACTTGATGCAAACACTGTTTGCCATTAGCAGTCTCATAAAAATATTCTTTATGCCCCTTTGAAAAATTCTTCTTTCTCCTCTTAAAGAAAAAGCACTGCACCACTTTCCTCCTGGTGATTTTGCAGCTACGCGTTAGCTTTGTTTTAGATCTTTCTGTACGGAATATTGAAGAGCACACTTGGTTGGTTGCTGTTGTTTTCCATCTCTAAACATTCTCTCTCTGCCTAATTGGAGCTTAGGCAAAAAGTCCTCTGTGGAGCCTCATAAATCAGACAGTGCTCAACTCAAAAAAAATAGTTCATGTCTTCTGAAGCCTGTGTCCCTAGTAGGGATTTTGTCATCCTTTCCTTGAACTTATTTTTAAGGTCATAAAGAGTTGTGTTGCCTGACAGTTTGCAGTGCAGAGGAAAACTGAGGATGTGAGGATGGAAAGCAGAGGAAGGACCTCTCAGGGGAAAGACAACCTGCTTACAGATGAGAATCTGAACCTCCGCAAAGTGAGATAAAACCTCACTTTGGTTTTCAGTCCCCTCAGTCTCTGTGAAGGTGTGATGGGACAGAAAATATGAAAGACAGTGATATTAAAACATACGAAGCCACAAAGGCATCTAGCAAGATATGGGCTGCATCCCACTCTCACTGTAATCATCTTCAAGATCCCAAGGATGTGAGGAAGCTCCGTTTGGTTACATGCCTCATTAAAGCAAAACGTATAGTTTTCATGTATTTAAATTAAGGAATTTATTAAAAAAAAACAAAGCCAAAAAAACAATCAAAACAGTGGTTTGATCTAGATACAGCAGCACTGTGACATTACTAGGACATTATGTACGAAGAATCCAAGCAGCCATAGAACACAGAAGCCTTTATCTTCAGTAACAATCTCAAAATGAAACTAGCTTCATCAAACAATGTTAAAGATCTCCCTGGAAAGAGAAACAAAACCAAACAGACCCTCCCCACCCCTAACCCTGTGGATACTAGAATGATTTTTTTTTGTACAATACCAACAGCCACTAGCTCTTCTAATTGAGAACACTTGCTTTAATTTATTACAAAAATGATCTGTTGAGTCAGTTATGAAAGACAACTTTTAACATTGCTTTAGAAGTGTCTGCTCCTCTTATAGACTACAGTATTAGAAGTGCTTAAAAACATTTAATCCTGGATATGCTCTTGAAATTCAATCAGAAGGATATTCTGTGTGCGTTTATATACCAAATATGATTTTTAATTTTTAAAGCAGGTGAAAAGACTAACCCTAATATGAAACTGCAATTTTACAATTTAATTATTAGTCAGATATGGGCAACCACATGATAGTTCATGAAATCTTTAGGTCTATCTACATTGCTCAGAAACACAAAATAAAGTTTTTACAACTTTCACCTTCAAAAGGCTAAAATGTTAAGTCTTTTGGAAGAGTGTCCAGTGTTTAAAAGAAATGCAATTAAGGGAGACCGCATTCAATACACATGAAACGTAACTCGGTTGAGCTTGCTAATAAACATATCTAACAGCTGCGTGTGGGGTGATGAGAAAGGAAAACACATTTGTCATCCAGCCACTACCTGAAATGTTTCTTCTCTGGAAGTTAATCTTCTCTACAGGACTGCTGATTCTCCAGAAAACCTGGAGTTCCCCTTTGGAGCCCGTTGATCCCAAGCATGTGGTCGCCTCTTTAGTTTCCATAGCTGGGCAGTGAGTTGACCCAATGTTTGCCACGGATGCATCTTTGCGACTTCACACAGCATCTCACTTAATTGGTATCTAGGGATTTGTTTGCAGGCTTGGCCAAAAAAGTTGAACCAATGAATGCTATTTCATTCTCTTCCTCATAACTATTTATTTCCAATATAAAAAAGAGGAAGTGTTTGTGTGAATGCTGCAATTACTAGCTAGCTCTTAAATAATGAAATGAATACCTTAACATTTGCACTGTCATCCCATCTTCTGTTGGAGATGTCTTTACAGAAGCGCAGTGCATTCTGTTTCAATATCTCTAAGGAACTAAGACAAACCAATAACAAAAAAGAGCCGTAATTTACAAGAGTCATCTCCCTAGTCGTGTAAATAAGAGCAGCTATATTAAGCCTATTTCACTTAAATAATAACACAAAGAGTTGATATTGATCTGTTTTATGCACAGACTCCAAAGTGCTTTCTATTGATAGACAGAGAGCATCCCTCCATGTTGTAGAATGGGAAAACAAAATTGCACAGAGGTTTGCCCAGGGCAGTGGAAAAAAACCATGGGCAGAATAGGAATACAAACCACCACTCCTGGCTCCAGTACATAAACCAAGGAGAATACATTTGTGCCAGCAGTAATATTCATTTTAGTGAATAGACAGCACTCTGCTTAAAATTATTTCTTTCATAAAGCCCATTTATCAGTACACTAGCTTAGCTGATCCAACTGCAGCAGCTTGTATTTGTATTATCACAGAGACGTTTGGGGGAGGTCAGTGTATAATATTGTAGCATACTGTTGGCTTTCACCTTCTTTGGTGGTTTCCCTAAAGAAAATAATTTGCAAAATTCTCCGAACCAATTTCTTTCTCTTTTCTTTTTGCAGTTAAGGACAGAAAGTTATTACCAGCCAGCACTGCAATATTATTTAGTATAAAAAAGATTGTGTCCTGCCCAGCACACAAAAGAGAAGAATTGTTTTAAACTCGTGCAGACTTTCAGCTTTAGCACGAGGGTGTTAGTCATTATTATTTTTAATCTAAATAATTAATAGTATTTTAAATTGCAGGTCATTTTTGTGAAAGGCTTGAGATAGACAACTCTGGAATCTTCTGTTTTCCGTAGAGCTGCTGAACAGGCGGGTTCTCCCAAACTCCACTGCCAAATGTACCTCCCCGCAGCCCGAGACAGACTAGGACCATCCTTAGGCACGAGAGCCTTTAAGTCTGGACTTGTAGAGCTCCTGCAGGCCACTTTGTACTTCATGCTACACACATGAAGGAAGATGGTCTGCATCCCAAGGGCCAGACTAACCCAAAGATGTTCTTTCAAAGAAAAGTCCAGTCTTTTCAAAGATTGTATGGGAAATGCCTAGAAATGCCTGATGAATGATGTCCTCTGCACCGAGACTTAACAAGTGAGTACTATGAATACAAATTGGAAAAAAAAAATCACGACTAACTGTGGAGCAGAGGTTAAAGCACTGTATCTTGTCCACAATGAAGTCAGGTCATGCAGTCACCTGTTCCATGGATGTCCGTAAGGAGAAGCAGCTGTGCTATAAAGGGTGTCCATTTATTGCTCTTCCAGAAAAGCCTACATAGGGAACTCCTGACTGAGGCTCAGATCCATGGGAACAGAGACCTGTGTGTTCATGCAGGCTGGCTGGATACCCACTTGCCTTGTCAAACGGTTCCATCTGACCCTCACAGGGATGATGTTGCCTTTGAGCCACGGGCCAGACCCTATGCTTAATAGGACCTTGGGTGTGCAATTCCCAGGTTACTCAAAAAACTGTGAGCAACGGATGACAAACCAAGGAAGATTGTGCAGCAATGTGTGATAACAACTACCATTGGAGACTTGCTGAAGATACACATGGTATGGTAGTTTTCACACTGTCCTCCAGAGCTCACAGCTTGTCTGTCTTCCTTGTCCTGCCCGTGGTTTTATTAGTATTTATTAGTATTACAGATTGGTTTCCTGGTTTTCTTTTTAGCTGAGGCATCTTTACTGAAAAAGATCGACAGCAACCGGATTTGAAATGCACGGCTTTGACAGCTGGAGTGAAGAATTCAAGCTGGATCTTCGAATCAGACACTTTACTGGGTCAGCCAAGTTTGAGTCCCTACTGCTGATGGCACTCTTAGCCATCCTTTCTGGGGGAGGGGACGACTGCAAATTGAGATGGTATCAAGCTGTTTTTACAGGTAGCTGGTATTGTCTCTGAACTGCCAGTTACCAGGCATCCTTCACCAGTAGGGCCAGATGAACACTGTGATACTGAATTCTGCAGCTCCCTAATGGTCAGTTTGATCGCCAGTACCTGTTTGGTTTGATTATCTTCACACCTTTCCGAGCTTCACAAGCAGGTTTTTGTTCAGAAACAACATCTGAGTCATGGCCATTCTTGTAAAAATATCTCTCTTTAGATAATCCACATGAAGAGTGCACATGTAAGAGTTTTATTATTTGTTATTTTTTCCTTTGTTATCCCTTTGTTTAAAAAAGCCTCTCATCCAACTAGAGAGTGGGAAAAAATGCTACAGGACTTAAGTGAACCTTGAGACACTGTAGAAAATGAATAGCAAACATCTGAATCATAAAAGCCTGTAAACTAATTAGTGTTCATCAGACTACTCAGTAAAGATTTAAAAATAAAAAATAATGCTTGCACAATTTAGGATCAGATTGCAAAAGATTTCTGATTCTTGAAAAGAGTTAGGTTTTCTCATCTGTCTATTTAAAAAAAGCAACCAGATCTGAACATATGCGTTTTTTGGAAAGAATTCGTATTGTAATTGGAAAGGAGATACAGACAATTAATCAGTCTGGAAAGCTATTAAAGAACTACTCCTTTCTGCTCCTTTGTTATGTGCAAATCCACCTCAAAAACTATTCACTTGGAATCAAAATACTTTGTAGGCAAAGTTGTAGGCAAACCCTGACTAGAAGATTCCTAGGACTGTTCATTATCACTAGTGATGTATGATATTGATTAAATCTTTCAGGGCTTGGATACTGAAAGAATACAACAGTTCTGCTGCCCCAGCATTTCAATACTGTTTGAAGTTTGTCAGACAGGATAGCAACACTTTAGGGATGTGGCACGAAATCTCCCTCAACCGGTCTTGTTTTCTGTCTCTCCCCTTACTCCCTCACTGCTCCCCAGGGGCTGGGATCCAGAGGGACTTCATCCCAGGCTTGACACTTCAGGTGCACATAAGCCGAGTAAGGAACTGTCCCAGCTGAAAGGAGAGCAGGAGAAGGCACAGACGCTATCATTCGCTGTTGTTATAAAAAGTCATCCACCACTAGTTAAGGCTGATAGCATCTAAGAGGTACAAGGGCATCTACAATCTATATTTGCAGTTTGTTCACCAGCTTTCAGTAAGGGGTTTGTTGTTATTAGGATTTTATTTCCCAAGTGGGAGATGGTAAAGAAAGAATATTTAGTCTTCATGTGGCAAATGGGTAACATGGAGGAGATGAAGCCCTTGGGCCAACAGCTGCAGTTTTATCAGATTTATCCAATGAAATATTAATGGGCTAAGCCCTCCCCCAACTGTCTTTTTTCCTTCCTCATGGTGGTAGGTAGATATTATCAGCCATGTTTTTCTGATGGAGGAATAAGCTTGTCTGTTGCTGCAGAGTGATACAACAGCAGTGGTGGAAAAAAAAGCTTAGTCTTTCACTCTGCTTCCCCCATCCAGCACCCTCTTCCCCTAGCATCAGCGTAGAGGATGAAATCAACTGAGGGTGCACAAACATATTGTATACCATACTGTTAGAAGGCGATGTCTCAGAGTGATAGAAACAGATTGGAGTTGCACAACACTTGCAGCTCTCTAAGAAGAACTAAGAGGTGTGTCTTGTCTTGTCTCAGCTACACTGATATACATCCGTTGTCTGGCTAAGATCTCTTTCTCCACTTCTCACCTACATTTCTTGAAATCAGGTGAAATCCCATATGTCATTGAAGAAGGCCTGTGAAAACCTCCCAGAGCAAGTATGTCTTCATCCAGAGCGTGCTCTGATCAGATTCCTGTTGACTTAGGTAGCTTTACATCAGGCCATGAGAACAGAAGTGGAAGTAATAGCCCTATCTGTCTAGTGGCTTTCACCTCTACAATATTTCATTCCCCTCCTGTCAGGAAGCTGAAACCATTATAGGTTTAGTTTATAGCTGATACAGAGAGAGAAAATGACTCAAAATTCTCATCTATTACTATCTCTCTAAAATCTTGCATCTTCTATAAGATCTGCAACGCCATCATCTGACATGGGAGAGTGGCTGAAGCTCTCCCTGAGCGCCACCAATACAGGGAAAAGGAATTTCTGGACCACGCTGATCCAAAGGAAAAAGAGCAACAACTTCTTGGTGATATTATGGCACGCGTACACACCTTCACTACGTGTCTACTAATGACCAGGAAAACTGGAGGCTTTTCAAACAATGTGCACTTGCATCTTAATCTACTTTGCTCCTGATAAAGGCACCAAAGCCTCACCTCCCTTTCTTGACTTTTCTCTGTCAGCTGCTTTATAAAAATCCTGTCCCTGTTGTGTGTCTCTCTCTCATGACCTCAAGCCAGTTTGGTATGCAATTCCTGTGTCTTTCTCACTCAGAGATTTGCCACTACTAACCTGCATCTTTTTTCCTCTCTGCATTGGCCAGATAGAACATATACATGATAGTCTAATGAATTTTGGCTATTAAGACTTCTACTGGAACAGTGCTTCCTTGTACCCTGGGATAACTGAGCTGCTAGCTTACAAGGTTTTAGACACACCAGGCTGACCTTCAGATGTTCCTGATGACCTAAAGGTGTAAAATCATCAGTATACTCTAGCCAACATTGTCAAGAGCATGGTGAACGAACATGTTTTAGAGAACATGCTGGGCTACAGAGATCCTGTCTGCACCTGGGAGGACAAAGGTTTTCCAGTTCCTGTTGAAGGGAAGAAACCACATTTTTGACCTGGTGTTCTTAATAGATAGTGGCATACTTGAGAAGAGCATGATTCAGATGCCTGAGGTACTGCTACTGATCCCGACTGACCCTGTTTATACTGGTGGGAACAATGTTTCATCAATGGTTAAAGGATCCTGGACAAAGAATGATGGAACCAAAAGTGGGAGGTCTTATTTCATAACTGACAGTTTATTCAATTAAGTGGAGGATCTAATTGAGGGGACGAGTCATGGTGTGTTTGGCATGACACATGGAAGTACTCTAAGTGCAGACACAACCTATAGGGTCTGCTACTGCTCAAAAGCAGCTCAGATCCCACTCTGAACCTCCACAGCTCAGCTCCAGAAAGCTGTCATGAATCTCATGGTCAGCGCAAACCAGCCTAGCGATTTTCTCTCTTGCTACCTGTTTGATATAGGCAACTGTGGAAAGGTCTAGGACTTTGGACTGCAGCATAGAGAACACTTTGAGTTTTGTTCTCATTTCAGCAGGTGCAGGTTTCAAGTCCTTGAAAAACAAATGGTCGTTTGCTTTCCTGGTCACCTATCCCTCAGCTTTGTTCTTGCTGTCATTAGAAACAGCACAAAAACTAGTGAAGGAGAAGGGCTTAAAATAGGGTTCCCTTTCTAACTAAAAAGGTTTTGATGAGCTAACAATGTAAGTAAGTGCAAATCTCAGCTGTGCTGGTCCCATGACATCACAAATCTTAGGCATAGCAAGTAGCATTCTTGAATGCATCAAAATCTTGTCTTTTAGCATTTAATGTGAGACATTACAAACTAATGAAGAGGAGAAATGTATGCAGTGTTGCTGTAAACCAAATATACAGATGTAAAATAATTAAGAATAAACTGTTCCATAAAAATGCATGTCAGTAAAACCCAGTCTGATAAAGTGATTTATGAATAATTTTCTAGAATTACTAAAAAGAATGATTTCTCGTTTGAGGCTCTGGAAGTCTTGAGTCACATTTTTTTTTTCTTTTAAAAAAATGTCTTAAAACACATGGCTTTACAGCTGCTGCTTGGAAAATATACACCTCCAAAGTCTGACTTTCATTTCAATACAAATGTACAAAATGTAAACTGAGACAATAGAGAAATTTACAAAACTTTTCTTTAAAAATAATAAAGACAAAATTCAGTTCTAGTATGATGCTATTTAAATACGTGCAAGTAGTCATGTTCATTGAATTTCTATTGCAATGTTCTAAATAGACAAATTTGATTCACACAGTCTTGAGTGCCACCTCCAAAAACAGACCTGAGTGGAAAATTCTTCTTAAAATGTGAGGCTCCACTGGAAGGAATGGATAGACAATCTCCATTTTTGGGAGATCCTTTTTTTTTCACTCAACGGTGGAGGCTCTCTCATCCATAGAAGCTCCATAGATTATAGTGGAAGGATGCAACATGTTGTTTCATAAAACTGAGTTGGAACTAGCTGCTTCCAGTGGAGTTTGAACTTACGTGATTTGAATTTATGTGGTGATTTAAACTGGCCTTTGAATTTGGAGAACTCTTTGAATTGTTCTGATGCTGTAGAAAGAGGAAGACAATGACAATTAGAATCCCAAAATATGCCATGCTTTCTTTTAGTCCAACATTGTTCATTTTATGGTGATAACGTACCGGCTGGACTAATCTGACTAATCAGAGGATACCTGCCAATGCTCAGGCAAGGTTTTAACCCTACAGAAACAGATTGGTCTAAGAATGTTATTTAGATTTGCAAGTGGTGCCATGGTGCCTCATGAAAGCTGTACATCACATATTATCTGGTCTGCTCTCTTCTCTAGTGTCTTGGTTTCCTGCCATAACTACCTCACTCAAAATTTGCACCTTCTTTTTTTTAAACACATAAATCAAGGATTTTCACAAGAAACTTATTAAAACATATCACCATTTCAAAAGGCATTTCAGCCTACCACTGAAAAATAGGTTGGGTAAGAAGTTTTCAGCTGCTGGAAACAAAGCTTATGAACAACACTGGAACTTCTGGTGGTAAAAAAATCACGAGACGTAGATGGAAAACTTGGGATATGCAGTATTAGTCAGGAAATTACCAGGTAACTGTGACAGCCAGCCCTCTCTCTAAGAGGCACTGTCTTTCTCCGAACAGAAATACCACCAGAACATGGCTGTGACACTGGGCATCTATGGGAGTTTCCTTGTCTTAGTCGTAAAAGATCTCACCTGTCGTTTAAATATTCTCTGTAGCAATCCCTTCTTGGGTGGCTCTGGGGGATAGCTTTTGTTTAGGTCTGGTGAAATAGTACCATTTGGTCCAAATACATTCAGTTCTTTGAAACACTCTGTTTCTATCATCTAGTGGAATACAATAAGAAAGAAAAAAATAAATTATACATCTGCATTAAATATATTCCAGTAGTGCTAGGTAGTTCAAAGTCAGGATCAGGACCAGCAGCTTGAGCAATATGTTAGGAGAGTTAACATTGAATTCCTGCTGATGGCTATAGAAGGCAAATAGGATGTATGAAAAAGAGAGGCTGAGTCTGCTCTGCATGTTTGCACATCAGTCTTATGAGCAGTTGCCCCATAAAGCTTTCTGTTCTTTTCTTTAGCACTGCGGAGAATATTGGGTAAAGACAGGAATACTCACAAAATCCCAGTTATTAGCACCCCTCTGCCTAAGTGGATCTGCTCTTTGATCCAGAGTTGGATTATGAAATCCACTATTGGCTGTGTTTTGATATCAAACAGAAACAAAGACCCAGATCTGGAAACGCTGGAGCAGTTCAAGGTCCAGAGTCAACCGCTGGGACCCGCTGCAGGTACAAGACAATGGGTGAGATCAGGATCACCAATGGAGGAGGCTCCCATTCGGACTTCCAGCCATCCCATGGAAGTTCCTGAGAGCTGTTGTCAAAACACCTCTGTAGAAATCCAGGAGAAGGAAGTACAGTAGGATCCGTGCCAACTTACACAAATACACAGAGCCAACAGATACAGTCACCTGAACCTGCCATCTGTGGTACATTATAGATCTTGAAAGAGGCCATTTGTAACTTATGAAAGCATTAGTCTGGCAAGTTATCCAGTAGTTATGCATTACTGGAAATATACAGCTCATCTTAAACCATCTGTGTTAGGGGTTTTACTGGAGTAATTTCACTATGATACATCCTTACCTCATTTTGCCATGGAATAGACACTGATCCTGTGGAAAACTTGGAATAGAAATCATCATCTGTTTGGTCCAGGTTAACTCCTTTCACTGTGGAGAACTGCTCAATGTCTAACACATCCTTGCAGTATACTGCTCTGGGCTATCTCAGCAGAAAAAAAAAAAGAAAAACAGCAAGAGAAAAAATGTTTCTGAGTCTGACCATGTGCTTTCATTCACAGATTCAGTCAAGTGAGAATGCCTAACAAGTGACTATCTGCGTCCTGCTTCTCTAGACTTGCTCTGCCCGCATGTTTATCATCAAAGGCTGACTTCACTTGAAGCATGTTAAGCTTCCCACTTTGAAGTCCTTAAAGCATCAGCACAGCCAAAGTGGGTTTTAGTCATCCATCTATGTAGCATATGGTTAAGAGGTGAGGGGAAAAGGACAGAAAGAGCAAGAAAACAAAAGTCAAATCCTTCAGCAGTCTTTTCTCTTAGAGAGGGAATAACAGAAAACCAGAATGTTTATGAGTGACACACTGGAGACAGCTCTGAAAAGGGACTCCAAATAGAAGTGTCCTTCTGCTCAGATAGCTGTGGAGTTTGCAGCTTCAAAGTTTGAAGGAATATATACTAATTGCTAAAGAAAACAGAAGAGGTTTGGTGTTTTTCCATTGTTTTTATTTATAGCTCAGCTACTGGCAGCTGTCCAGAATCACCTCTATTAACTCTTTTAACTTGGCTGCATGTCTTCAAACCACTAGTCAAATGGCTTTGTCTTTTTAAACTACTTAATTTTCTGGGTTGACAGAGACCGGACTCTTTGCAGTGACGCTGCTTTTAGCTCATATTCCAGCAGCCAGCCACAGAAAGCAGAAATAGTCATCACTGGCTACCTGTCATAGTTGGTGCGGTCATCTGCGTGCCCAGAGAGTTCCCATCAACAACACAGTTACCTTCTGATGCGCTGGAATAATTGAGGGGTGGCTTGTGGGACTAGCCTGACCTGCTGAACTCAAGCACGTGTTGAATCCTACTGTCTACACATGGTACCATGACTGCACAGCCCAGGGGTCCAACCGTGCAGTATTTGATCTAGACCTGAGCAGTGTGACCAAACAAATCAAGCTGATTCCTGTCGGGAGTCCTACTCGCTGGAGGCTGCATCCCTCTGCATTCCTGACGGCTGCAATCCACAATATTTTTGTGGAGACAGAGTAGTCTAGAAGAGGATGGAGAGACTTGGGTTGGATTACAACCTCTGCCATTGGCTATATAGCTTTGGGTGATTCAGCTGACTTCAGTAAAGACTTGGAAATCTATGCATGAAGTGCCAAATAAATTAAATTAGGGGCAGCTCTTGAGTTCCCAATAAATAGCCATAAAAATTTATGTGCCTCTGCTTTAGCAAATATGTCTATAAGAGGTGCCTTCTAGGCCTTACATGCCACAGTTAAGCTTTTAATACACTCTGGCGGATCCCAAATTTGAGCCCAGAATTTTCTAATTTTCTACATCAGAAAGAAATAGTAGCTTGTCTCCTATTTCTTCCCACTAAAGCAGGTCGTAACACCACGGGCTAATTGGCAGGAATAACTAGGCCGCATAGTAAAATGTAAAGCAAAACCAGAGCAGCTAAAGTAAACTTTTGTAGCGTTCAAACCACTTTGGTTTGGTTGAGTTTGCAGCAATGTGAATGAGAGCTGCCAAGATGTTACTTTCCTTAATACGTTAAAATGGCAGTGTTTACTTAGAACCATATGGGAACTTTAAGGATAGAAGGTCTAGCCAGAAAGAGAGCCCTGCAGGAGGAAAATAATCAGATAACTCTGTGCACTGGGGTAGAGACCGATACCACAAAAGGGTGGAAAAAGTTTTATTATTGCCAATGCAACAAAGACTTTCAGTATGTGCAAGACTGGTGTGTAAACCTGAGTAAGGATTCAATTCTGGATTCCGTGCCCCATGAACATTAACAAGTTCAAAATGCTCTCTCAGGTCCAAGTCACCTCCTCTGCTTGAGGTGACACTTGATATCTGAACCTGGTTCAGACTTTCTGTAACGAATGCCTGTTTTCATGATGATCCAGTCCATTCCTCAGTTCCACAGAGCTTTGGACTTTGTAATTCTGGTTTCACCTCAGCGTATATATCTGTTTCACCTCAGCGTATATATCTATGTATCTGTATGCATACGTGTGGCTTTCATTGCTGATTGTTCTGAGCACCTCCTGGTCCTAAGCGCACTTATTCTCACGCTACTACCATGGATAAGGAAATACAAAGGTTCCCAGTTTAAAGTGTTGGAACTGGGGCATGAGCAGATCAAGTGGTGCCTCCAGAGTCACACACGAAGACTGTGGTAAAGTGAGTGGGGATGAATCAAGCCCCAGGTTACCACCCTACGTGGAGTCGCACCCACCCTGCATGCACACGTCTACAGAGCAGCTCTCCTCTTCCTCCCAGCATCCCCACACCAGCCCATCACACCTTCCTAGGGCAGCTACCCATACAGAGGGTGATGACAGCTCTAAGAGAGAGAAGCTATTTTAGAAACAAATCTCTTGAAAGAGGCCACTTCCTCTTTCAGAAGGGGGTTCTTCCTATCGTACTTACATCAGGGACAAAGGGAGGATCCAGCATTCCTGCTTCTAACCGCTTGAAATTCATGCTCTTGAAAAAGGGGTGCCTCTTCACTTCTGTGGCACCTTCCCCTTGACATCCTAGCCGCTGCTTCACGTCTTTGGTGAGGAGCTGAAACATGCCAAGAGGAACGGTAAGGTTGTCAGAAAAGCAAGAGCTCCACAAAGATATTTTTATCTCCAGTTGGTTTTGAATGTGCCCAGAGAGGAATTGTAATTGCTGTTACTTAATGGCCAAAGTTTAATGGATTAGGACTGCACTGTTCTACATGCTGGTGAAACCCTTTGAAAATTACCTGTTGTGAAGTGTTTACAGTCAAAATACAGACTGTTGCTTCTGCTTACTTTCAGTGAACACTTTCAAGGAGAGGTCTGATATACCCTAATAACATATATAGATGCATATTCCTAAGTCCCACGTGCTTTTTTGTGGTTCTTTTTTTTTTTTTTGTTGGTACTCTTCTAAGAATAATTTTCCTGTGTTGCTTAGGCTGAATGACTTCACTATCAAATTGTATTTCCCTCCACCTATTGCAGTATATTCCAGTACATCACGTGACACATTGAACCAACCCTTTGTGCTCATGGGCTTATCTCTGCTGAACTCAAGGGGAGTTTTGCTCATGGAGTATCAGTAACCATCCTCAGTTCAGCCTTGTTTGTTTTCAGAAAAGGGCAATGCACCACCTCTACCTGCTACAGCAAGTCCTGCCTGTTTCTTGGGTACCTGTAATGGAGCAATGGACACTAACTGAACTCAGCATCGTTGGTCTATTAGATAAGCAGGTCCATGAACACAAACACAAGGGTTGTAGGTCCTGGAAGACCTTGTATGGATGGACCAATCGATCTCCAAGACAACAGTTCAATGAAAGAACAATTCTGGTACAGACTAGTTGGTGGATGAGGAGACAGAACGTGTAGCCAAATCTTCACCAAAATGCCTCTTCTTTTAAAACATATGTGTAGAATCAAGTAGGCTAAATCAATGCCTTAAGAGATCACGTCTAAACAGTTGAAGACAGGCAGAGCTCAGCATGCAAATGACCGCTGCAAGAAGACCATCACTTGGGACAGGGACCTTTCCAGATGTACCACTGACTTAAGGCAATCTGTTGAAAAGTGAAGGTTCACAAATTTGTTTCCTTTTTCCTTCCATTCATCTTTGAGGAAGCCTGCATGATGCTCTCAGATAGAGGAGGGAAAGTGTAACTCCGAGCTCACCATAATCTACCTAGAGATTTCAACTGCCTATTAAAGACATGCATAACATGTGCCTTAGCACGACAGAAAGCTAAACATGCATTGAAAACAGCCAAGGCTGGCTTTGCTGGAGCCTCCACTCCGGGGGAAAAGACTACATACTTACACTGCAACATCACCAAGGACATAAAGAGTACAGCCCCTTCCCACAGGAAGGGTATGCCTCCTGGACCCCCCACCGCTCAGCACTTTTGGTACCCCGATTTCTAAACGGCTGCTGAAGGAAGGGGCTGAGCCAGCTTGCACGGACACCAAGGCTGTGCGGCTGCCGCCGGCCCCACCACTGCCGGCTGGAGAAGGGAAGGGAGAGGGGCAGGAGGGGG